GGGGCCCCCAGAAGCCCCAGGGGCCCCCGAGGGACCCAGGGGCCCCAGGGGCCCCAAGAGTACGAGGGGCCCCTGGGACCCCCAGGAACCCAGAGAGAGATAAGAGGGGCCTCGTGTTGAGCAGCAGCAGCGGCAGCAGCTGCTGGCAGCGAAAGGGACGGGTACAGGCGAAGCAGCAGCACCAGTTTTGGGGTTAATGTGTTTCGGAAGTCTTTCAACAAAAGCTGAAACAGCTTTTGAAGCTTTTCGGAAATTCCTGAGAGCTGCAACAGCAGGAAAGTGGGACAGCCGGCTGAGGGTTTCGTCTCCTGTTTCCGTCAGTGTGTGCGGGCCCAGCTCGCCTGCTGCTGCTGCTGCTGCTGGTGCTGGTGCTGCTGCTGCTGCTGCTGGGCGCGGGGGGGGGCGCTGCTGCGCGCCAGGGGCGTGGGAGACGCCGACGCGACGCAGAGCTTCTAAGATTTGTCTTTGGGAATTTAAATTTATTGTTGCTGCTGTTTCTCCCAGCTGCTGCAGCAGCTCATTTGCTGCTTCCTCCTGGTCCTTCCGGAGACGATCCGCCAGACGATCCCAGCAGGCCTTGTCCAGCGCCATGCCGGTACGCTCCATAGCCACCACTGCAGCAGCAGCAGCAGCAGCAGCGGGAGCAGCAGTAGCAATAAGGACGGCAGCACTGGCTAGGCTGCAGCTAGTTGTCACAGCAGCACGGCAGCAGCACGAAAGGGGGCGACGCCCGCTTCGTGCTTGAGGCTGTTGCGCAGCAGCCTAAAGAACTTAGGGTTTAGGGTTTAGGGTTTAGGGTTTGAGGTGCTTGCCAGCCGGCAGAGTGCGGTGCTCGAGGTCTGCAACGCGCAAGAGCTGGTGCTGCTTCAGCCGACGGCTCAAGCGGTCGTGCAGCGGCAGCAGCACTGCAGCATCCCTGCAGCAGCAGCAGCAGCAGCAAAGCAGCAGCGATTGCGATGCATGCAGCAGCAGCAGCAGCAGCGCAACGAAAAGCGCATGGCAGCAGGCGCACCCCGCAGCTTGATATGCTCCCTCCGCGTCTACTTCACCGGGCGTCGGCTGTGCAGGGTTTAGGGTTTAGGGTTTAGGGTTTAAACCCTAGGTTCAGAATTTGACGTTTAGGGTTTGCGCGCCACTATCGGCCAGAGTTGAGGGTTTAAACCCCAGTACTCAAAGCTTAAGGATTCGTGCTTAAGGGCCACTAGGGTTTAGGGTTTAGGGTTTGAACCCTCGGGTTTGGGGTTTAGCGTTTAGGGTTTGGGTAGCTTGAGCTGGATGTCCATAGCAGCTATTCTTCCTTTAGTGGGTGCTGAATGCAGTCGCTGGCCTCTAAACTGTAGTCCCTAGGGTTTAGGGTTTAGGGTTTAGGGTTTAATACCTCGCTGCATAGATGAGTTGTTCCTCGTGAAGCTGCTGAGAGTCCCAGTTGCTGCTTTGCATGCGTTTGTGGAGAGCCTATGCCTAGGGTCTAAACTATAAACTCCACGCCTAGGGTTCAGCGTTTAGGGTTTAGGGTTTAGGGTTTAATACCTCGCTGCATAGAGGAGTTGCTCCTCGTGCAGCTGCTGAGAGTCCCAGTTGCTGCTTTGCATGCGTTTGTCCAAAAAAAGCCCCAAAGTCCTTTCCACAACTTGGGCCAAAGAAAACCCTCTTTGAATTTCTGCTGCTTCCAACAGCCGACTCGCCAGCAGCGAGTCAAACACTGGCGGGCTCACGCCCCCCAAAACCCCAGCCACCACCTTCGCGTTCGCCCTGCTGCTGCTGCTGCTGCTGCTGCTGCTGCTGCTCGTGGTGGTGTCGTGGCTGCTGCTGCTGCTGCTGCTTGTGGTGTCGCTGTTTGTGTTGTTGTTGTCGCTGCTGCTCCTGCTGTTCGTGGTGGTGTCGCGGCTGCTGCTGCTTGTGTCAGTGCTTCTGCTGCTGTCCGTGCTGCTGCTGTCCGTGCTGCTGCTGCTGTCGCTGCTCTCGCCGCTACTGTTCGTGGCGCTGGTGGTGCTGCTGCCGGGGCCCGCGCAGCTGCTGGCAGACTCCGCAGCCGCGAACCTGCACGCGCCCTGCTGCTGCTGCTGCTGCTGCTGCTGGAGGGTGAGGAGGAAGTTGGAAAGGAAGCTCAAGTCGAACTTTGCGTGGTGCATCACTTTAGTCACCAGCGGAGACTGCAGCAGCAGCAGCAGCCCTTGCAGAGCAGCAGCAGGCAGCTTGAACATATCATACAGCAGGCAGGGCAGCTCGGGCAGCGCCACTTGGACCAGCCTGCAGCACACACAACGCGTGCTGCTCCCCGCTGCTGCTGCTGCTGTTGCTGCTGCTGCTGCAGCTGAGTTAAGGCAAAGAGCTGCCTCACCTTAGCTGCGAAGTGTGGGGATCGAGTCCCGTCGTCTCCACGTCAAGGCCCATGGCGATGAGACCCTCGGGCTGCTGGTAGCCCCCTGCTTCAGGCTGCCAGTCAGGGTTAAGCCCTTGCTGCTGCTGCTGCTGCTGCTGCTGCTGCTGCTGCTGTCGCTGCGCGTCTGCTGCCTCCAAAAAGGCCATCAGCCGC